GTGAAGAACAAAAGTAGAGTCGACGCGACGCATGTCTTCGTATTGACACCATACCAGTACTTCGCACAGGAAACATATCAACAGATTTGAATATTTATCTAGCATAAAAAAGACTAAAATACTCCGAAGAAATTGGAAAACACTATGGTCAATGTGATAAGGTGTCCATAGAGGCAAACATAAAAAATACCTACACACAAACGAGAGATGGACGGCTAAAAGATATACAGCACTAGTATTGAAATACTTACACCGGCCCTCTCATTGGCGGCTGCCTTCAAGCGCTCCTGCAGATCAGCGACCTCCTGACGCAGGCTATTTCTTTCCTCAGTCGCCTGCGAAAGCTCCTCAACGTAGGCCGAAAGAGATGGCGAGGACGCGGACGCTCCAATCACGGAGCGACGATGTCTGGTGCTCATGTCTTCCAGGTTCTCCTCCAATTCCTCAACGCGAGAGGCCAGCTCCGAATTCTGTCTTTGGGTGGCCAGACACTTTGCCTCGGCCTGCAAACAGAAAAAAAACGAACTGAAGTACACTGACATAGCGGCACCGCTCACAGAATACAAATTGGCGGCTAAGGTTGCAGCTGCCTGCTCAGGCTGCTGAAATAGAAAAAAAACTGACATGTCACTGACCAACTAAACGTTGACTACTGTACTACAAGGCTGTGTGCAGGCGACTAAGCAGACCGTATGAACATTCATAATAAAATGGCAGATGTAAAAGAATCTGGAGTACAGTTGGGAAATGCAGGGCTGATGAATTTAGAGTAGGCCATAGTGTGTCTGAAGAAATTAAAAGATGAATCGATGAGTAAAGAATACTGTAGGTAGCAATAAGTTAAAGTAAACGAACTGCAAAAGGCTAATATATGCATAATCGAGCATGCCGTTGCACTTTTCAATAAACTGGGGGCCGATGAACCATAACTCAAGCAGCTCGAAGCTTACACGAGTGTCGTCTCTCACGAGAATTCCGGCCTCAAAAAATTTGAATGCATGGCCGGATCGCATGGAATAAGCCACGAGTTAAGAGCTGATGTAATTTCTCCGCATCACAACCACGTATTCGGCTATTCGCGCACAGGGCAATCTTGCAGTTTGTCCGATGTAGTTGTTGTGCTCGCAACTGCACCAGATTCAATGAACTACTCCAGACATTTCTTACGGTGGCATGAATCTTTAGTCTCATTATCTGACACCCAATGGTTGCATTTGGTTTGTGTGCTATTCTAAGTCCAGGTGATGCAAGAAAGCAGCTAAGAACGTCCGAGACAGTCTTGAGGTATGGAAGCGTTGGTCAAAATTTGGGGTCGGTTCGATTTAGCGTATGTACCGGTCAATGGAGTTGTGCGGGCAACTACTGCTTCTGAACGCCCATCGAAGGCATTGCAGTCCTGCAAACTTGTAACCCGGTTCACTCCAGTGTGCAGCAACAAGTCAATATAGTGCCCTTACGCAACAGAGTTTGTGGCTGACTGAACAGATACTGTTGAAGTTCAGTACTTGTGTCCTATTTTACGCTTTCTTGAACACTGGTATTTAGGCAGCCACAATTTTTGCGGAAGACGAGGTCATAAAAGAAGACCAACTGGTTGTCTTTCCCTCTCCCCCATCGTAAACTGTATGTCCACCCATGTCCGTTCTGGCGTTCCTCAAGGTTGTATTCTGTCGTACATTCTGTTTGACCACACATCCTCAGCAAGAATACGCATTTCGGGCGCCGGCTAAATGATTTTCATTAGACTGACGACCGTATAGTTTTAGCTTCAAGACTTGCTGATCTACAAAACATAATGCCGTGGAAGAACGAGCTTAAGAGGCCTGATATGGGGTTTCAGTCACTGGGCACGAGGGGTGGCCGGAATTAAATAGCAGGAAATAAGGGGAAAAAGAAAAAAGCGCACAGAGAAAGTAAAGTCAGCTTACGTGTTGTCGTTCGCGCTGTTGTTCTTGCAGAGTTTGTTGGGTTTCCTCAAGCTCCGTTTGCAAAAGACGCTGTTTACGCAAGAGTGCCTCTTTCGACTCCTCCAGATCTTCCAACTGCAAGACAAATTTAAAAAATCAAAGTGTTGTGTTAGAAGTAACAACTACCCCCACTGAACTGCCAAATTCTAAATCTCCAGTCGACAAGACTTCCGTCTTGCAGGCAGGTTTGATTGATCACCAGTAAATGAGAAAGTTCGCGTTCCAGATGTTTGCATGGGTAGAGGAGAAAGCTTGTCGAGCCCTGGTTTACTGTCCTGAGCTTCCAAACTCTTACAGGAGTTTATCGTCAAAGGTAAGAACAGCAAAAAGAAGGGTAATTATAGGGGATATAAACTAATCAACTGCTGTTCTTATCTCTGACGATGAACTCCTGTAAGAGTTTGAAAACGCGAGATAACAAACCAATCGTTCCGGTGCTCTACGAGCCTTCTCCTTTACCCAAGTTTGATTGATGTCCAGCTCTCGCATTCGAATGAAGACTAACAATCGCAACCCATGGAATGTAAGCTCACTACCCGTGCGATAAAGCACTTGACTCAAGTCTCCTAATGATCAGTTGACCTAGGCTCGGACTTAAGATTCAACTGGCCTGGATGGTGATGGCAAATATGTCAGTTTTCTTTGTTCTCCAAATTCAGCCCACGTTTCATGGGTGTCAATTTCAACAACACAACAGTGAATAGTGAATATTCGACAGCAGCGAAAACCGC